GAAGAGAAAGAGACATGCTCGAATCCTTGTGACCGGCAGCATCGGAGGACTACAGGGTTAGTGGGGGTGGAGGGAGAGACTCAGACAGTTGGGAGAGAGATTTTTCAAAAACATGCAGCAAAGCAATTCATTCCAAAAATAATTTACTTAATCAGTATTTTTATCTGGTCTGGTTTTCATTTTAAAGAACATTGCCACATTTATTTATATAGCGCTTTATACAACACAGATTGTCAAATCAGCTTCAGAGTAATAAACAGGAAAATAATAGTGTTAATGTTGCAGAATTAATCTATTATGAAACAAATTCAATGTCAGTTGTATAGCAGCTCTACAGAAGCCAAGTGTTTTTATTTAGCTTAATTTATGTTCAGTGTTGATTTAGTTCAGTTCGATAAGTGTCAATATTACAGGGTTAGTGTCATTATCCAGCTTAATTCAATTTTTTTTTTCTTCCTTATTAAATTGTGTCAGTGCAGATGAATCAATAATACTACTATTAATATAATATGAATTGTCTTTTAAATCCCAACTGAGCAAGCCAAAGGAGACAAGATCCATAAAATAAGATGAATTTACGTATGAAGCACAACTACAAAATAAGTGTAAAATTATTATTGTTTTTTAAGTTAAAAAAATATTTTCAGAGAATATCTCTTAAATTGTTTATTTTTCTTACAATCTTGGCAAATTGTTTTTTTCCCCCTTGTTTTAAGCTTAAACCTCAGTAAATGTTGTTAGATTGCTTGCAACAAGAAATAAACATACAGTTTGAAAGAAAGAAAGAAAGAAAGAAAGAAAGAAAGAAAGAAAAAGAAAAAGAAAAAGAAAAAGAAAAAGAAAAAGAAAAAGAAAAAGAAAAAGAAAAAGAAAGAAAGAAAAGTTAAAAATAAATAAATGTTCTCTGTCTGAAACTCAGGACTACCATTCAATGAGGTTGAATGGTAGCAAATTTGCAGTAGAGGGTGCTTGTGAGAGCCTGGCTATACTACTCCAGCACTTCAATATCCAGTGAGTATTATATGTGCACAACTGCAAACATGAGCAAACAGAATCATTTTTTCTATGAAATGTTCCAAAATGATCCTCAGATATATTGCTCAGGTACCCCTACACTATCCTAAATCCATCTAAACATTACAACTCCCATGCTGCAGTGTGAGCCTGATTGAATGTGGACCAGTCAACACAGACTTCCTGATGAACCTGAAGAGGACTGAGCCCAAGTTGATGCGCACATACGCAGCCTGTATGATCAGTACCTGCAGCACTGCCAGTCTGTGTTCCATCAGGATACTGATGACATCACACAGGTGCTACCGCCAGCCTGATTCAGAAAGTCAAACCCCGACAGCGTGATCAGGGCTTGATTCAGAGCCAAATAAATAAACAGATATGAAATACTGATTCGAGTTTATTTTATAATTTAATATTTAAAAATCTAATTTTTTTAAATAAATGAATCTTAAAGCTTTCGTTAAGAACAAACAATAGGCCAAGCAAAACAATGCACAACACAACAATAATATTAAGGTAATATTAAATACCTTTTATTATTACAGTAATAATAAGAGGTCATTTTCACTATAATCACACATTTAATGAATGGCTATGGCATTCTTCATTTTGTTATTTCATTTGATTATCAACATTTGTGAGATTTAGTCACTCGAAACAGTTTTGAGGTTAACTGATCTAATTTTGTTTGTTAATGAGGTATGTGTTTTTAGATTTGATGTTAATATTGTTTTTATTTTTAAGTAAAAGGATCAAATTAGACCCTTTGGGTAACTGGAAAGAAGAGTGGCATGTTGTTATAAGTGTGAAACTTTACAGATACCACACATATTACCATGACTATGTTAACGTGTTCCTCTCGCTCTTGTCTTTACTTTTAGGTGTATATGGAGGCAGTCGAAGCCCAGACTCCATTTCTCAGATATTACTAACAGAGCCCTGCTACCCATGAGCAGCCTGAAACTCACCTCCATGGATGGCTCTCAGTACATCCGAGCAATGAGCAAGCTCATCTTTTCCGCACCCAATGCTGATCCACAGATATGAGATTCTTTTCATAAGCCCTGGAGTATGGAACACACTATATTTACAATTTAAAGTGCTGACAAATGAAGCCTTTGGCTGAAACTAGTACTGCAGTGTTTCTACTGCTAGAATCACTAACATACTCTAAATAACTGTGATTTGTACAACACAGAGCCAGTGAAAATAAAGTCTTTGTGTATTTAGTCTGTGTTCTTCTGTATTCCTCGGTGTTGAACTCTGTGCAGAATTTCATCTCAAGGACTGTTTGATTCTCTCGCACAAGACCACTATCAGTTTCACATTTTTCTTCAATTGCTTACTACTACTAGAATCAGAGAACAGTGAGGGCAGAGCACACCAAATCCGTGCAAGGTCATTATTTTGCTCTATTTTGTGAGCGTTTCATTCAAGGACACAGTGATCTGGATCACATGCCAACGTCACTGATGACCAGCATATCACAGGTTCACAGCTGCCTTACACCTTCATTCTGGTTTTTAGAGATCTATGGC